CGGGGGGCTATCCATGCTGTCTCTACGAAGCCCATGCGTCTCACTGCGGGGAGTATGTGGAGGGGACGCCGTGGCTGCAGCACCAGGCGGAGAAGCCCGTGTGTCTCACTGCGGGGAGTATGTGGAGGGGACGCCGTGGCTGCAGCACCGGGCGGAGAAGCCCGCGTGTCTCACTGCGGGGAGTATGCGGAGGGGACGCCGCGGCGGCGGCACGGGGCGCGGTGCTGTACCTCGGCCTCCGAGTCCTTGAGCTTCTGCACCTTCTCCTTGACCTTCATCTCGAACACCTGCTCCATCTCCATCTCCATCTTCTTCATCTTGGCCACGTGCTCCCGTCTCTCCTCCTCCATCTGGGCCAGGGGGCTCCTGTCGGACACGAAGGTGGTCACGGTTCCGCACGTGGACACTGCCGTGCGGAACTCTAAGACGCAGAGGAAACAAGCGGGGTGCTTGTGCTGCCACCATCAAACCCTCTGTGCTCTGCGCTTTTCCAAAGTTTCAAGAGAATTTAATTATTTTTGACAGTTTTAAAAAATGACACAGAACACGTTTAAGTTTTATGTATAAATGGGTATAAATTCCTTAGCGATTTTTAAATGTGTGAATATACTTATAACCCGAACTTCCTGTTAGGAAATTTCTTCCCTATCCAAACTTGAATCTCTAGCAAATAGTTACTATGAAAAAAGATATAAACAACAAGAGCCCTCATTAGCTGGAGGCGTCTTTAAACCTACTACAGAGCAAATCGAAAGATGACACCCAAATGGAAGAAAAACTGGAACATTCCCCAAATGCATTCACAAGACAGAAGACTCTTAGAAGAAAATCACTTAATTTTGTGCTTTAAACAAAATTCTTAATGTGAGTGAGGAGATCCAGCTAAGTTGTATCTGTAGAATATCTTTCGTTTTCTGAGTATTTCAAGTGTCACCGTCTCTTCTATGACGGCCACCAACAGCACAGCTACAGTAACGAGCGGTGGGCGCGGCGCTGGCGGTCCTAGCGGGCATGGCCTGGGGACGCGGGGTCTCTGTGAGCCCTCACAACTCCTTCCATCAGCTCAGCTACAATAGTAGCCCCACGTCTTCGGTTTCAAAGATGCTCAGTGAATTTTAAAAGCAGACACATCAGAGACAATTCGGAGCAAATGATTTTTCTAATAACTATCTGTGAAATGCCAGAACAGAACAAGTAGCGTTAGATTAAAAACGTGCATTGTACGACACTGATGGCCACGGGCTTGTATCCTTGCACAACTGTGCTCCAGACTGGCACAAGGAGAGCCACGGCGTCATCGGAAAAGTCATGACACAGTTTTGTGTAGAAAAACCTAGAAAAAAGTGCAACGACTTTTCCGACGACCCAGGATCTCCAGGCGAGTGTTCTGTTAGGGCCAGAGGGTCGGGCCCCACCACAGCCGGGGCGGAAGGAAGCGTGGGCTCCTGGGCTCCGTGCACAGAGGCCCCAGAAAGCTCTCCAGGACACGGGGTGTAAGATGTGGCTGACTGGCCGCTACTCTGACCTGACCCTGACCACAGCGACCTCCCCTGGTGAGGACATTTCTATCTTTTTTTCCTTAAAGAACTACTTAATTTTATTTTTTCTTCTTCGATTTGACCAGAGAGACGGGGGTAGAATGCGAAAGCAAGCTGCCAGGTCCAGGGAACAAGTAGCGTTAGATTAAAAACGTGCATTGTACGACACTGATGGCCACGGGCTTGTATCCTTGCACAACTGTGCTCCAGACTGGCACAAGGAGAGCCACGGCGTCATCGGAAAAGTCATGACACAGGTTTGTGTAGAAAAACCTAGAAAAAAGTGCAACGACTTTTCCGACGACCCAGGATCTCCAGGCGAGTGTTCTGTTAGGGCCAGAGGGTCGGGCCCCACCACAGCCGGGGCGGAAGGAAGCGTGGGCTCCTGGGCTCCGTGCACAGAGGCCCCAGAAAGCTCTCCAGGACACGGGGTGTAAGATGTGGCTGACTGGCCGCTACTCTGACCTGACCCTGACCACAGCGACCTCCCCTGGTGAGGACATTTCTATCTTTTTTTCCTTAAAGAACTACTTAATTTTATTTTTTCTTCTTCGATTTGACCAGAGAGACGGGGGTAGAATGCGAAAGCAAGCTGCCAGGTCCAGGACTCAAACCGTAGTCAGCCACGTGGGAGTCCTACACCTTAACCACCATGCTGTCTGCCGGCCCCTGGCCTCACTTCTGACCTCACAGCACGCTTCCTCCCTATCCAGGAGGAAGAACAGAGAGCTGGGCAGAAAACAGGATGGGACTTCTAAAAGTCTGTGGAAAACAGGAATTAAGGTATGAGTTTATTTCGGTGCAAAAACTTCTGGAAATACAGGAACGTGTTGAAGACCCCTTGTATTAGTAGGAGGGTGGAGGTGGACAGGAGACTGGCTGTCCGCTTTTCTTAGCCAGCACCTCCCTGTGGTACACTGCAGGGGTCAGGACGGTCTGCCTCTGCGATCTAAAGAACGTTGGTTCACACAGAAGCCTGCAGCACCTTCCAGCCACTGGACAATCATCGGCCTTTCTAAAACTGAAATGAAACCGGAAACAACAGGTGGCTGGCCTACAGCGGTGGCCACAGACAGTGCTGTGAAGACGCTGTGCTTCCCACGCTGGGCCGCGCTCCGGACAGTCCCAGGGCCAGGCAGGGCGCCATGTGCCTGTGAGGGGGCGGCGAGAGCACAGGCACCTGCTCCAGGCAAGAAGTCACACCCTGCCTGGAGGAGGTGTCCTGTACACCTTGGGGCCGACCCGGAGGTGGAGGACAGCGGTGGGCCTGCCTTCAAACAAAACCTGCATGTCCAATGGGACCAGGGGAAGCAGACTTTCCCCTGTAAGTAGCATTATTTCATTAGACGTTGACGGGATTTCTCTTAATATGCTCCTTTGTATTAACACAGGAACCTCTGATCTCGTGGGCAGTGTCTGTGACTGCCCGAAAATGGCATCTAGCAAATTGTATGTGTATGTGCACTCGTGTTTTCAGGGAGGGGCTCTAAAGCTTTTGTTACATTTTCAGAGTATCTATAACCTCACTTCCCTACCCACTCAAGAACATTTTGAGACTCCAGAAAATAACCCTGTAACTATTTTCCAGTGTCTCGAATAATTCACATGCACACTTAGGCTACTTAGATTAGCCAACAACGTACTTGTGAGTTACAAGCAAACCGTTCAAGTGTGTAACTATATTAAATACACTAATTCAGAGAGCTGAGCTGACTCAGGCAGTGCACCGTGCTAACCCACCGCACCATGGAGGGGTCCTGGCCCCACCTGGGACCGTGGGAGCTGCCAGGCCAGAGTGCAGCTCTCTGTACCAGCTGACGGCTGGCCACGGTCGGCCTGCCGTGGGTCTCAGCATGCTGACACTGCGGGTGGCTGTCTTTCTGTCTAGCTCTTTCTTTTTGTCTGTCTCATGGAAGAAATTAAATATGTTCATTTTTAAAAATTCATAGTAATTTGCACATGTAAAGGCCATCAGCTTATCATGAGGAAACACTCTTCAAAATTATTATATAAATAACTCTTGGGAGAAAAAAGGAAACCTCAGTAAAATATGCAATGATGTTTTGAAATCTGCTTCTGAATTCAAATTCAGATATTAAAAATTTGTGCACAATAAAATCGCTTATGTCTTTGGAAAATTAACCCCTTACATGCCTTCAACTGTATCATATCTACACGGACGCCCACACGCCCACACGCACATGCAGGACAGAGCACATGTAAAGTCAGTCACACTGAAAATAACTCAAGGCAAATATGTAACTTTCACAAATAATTAACGAGTATGACCTAAGCCAAAGCTCGTGGTAAAATTCGTTAGAGCTGGTGTACGTCCCAGATCCCGCCGGTCGTCCTGCACCGCAACACCATGCACGTGCTCCTGCTGCACGCGGGTGCGCTCTGGGGAGATGCGCAGCACCCGCCCGCGAGCTGCTGACGGCAAGCTCTGCACAGGGGACTGCTCCTGACCGGTGATGTGACACGCAAGTACAAGGACAGAGCGCTCACACGCACCTAACACAACGCTTTCAAGTCTCTAACCAGTCTTGAAGTTTTAAATTAACTAGTGCCCACCCCCCGGCCATCTTTATTAGAGAGTACTGAGGAAACTAACTCAGGCCAGCCTGGTGGTTAAGAAGTCAGGCCCCGCATGGCAGACCCGGCGAGCTGAGTCCAGGCACTGGAGACCGGAGGAACACACAGGGTACATGCGTGCCCCAAGTCCCGATGGCATAGAGAAACGAGGGAGGAGGGATTGTGGTTGGCTGCACCCCACTGGGGGATGCTCTATTCTCCGTCTCTCTGGGACCCCTAGCAAACTCTAGAACATCTCTATAAAGAAGCAGAAGCTTGGGGCCAGTCAGGGAATTAGGTGGTTAAGGCATGGGACTCCCACGTGACAGACCACGTTCAGGACCTTGCTGCCTGCTCACTTCAGTCTCTCTCTCTCTCTCTCTCTCGTAAGTTTGAGTACTCTGCAGCAAATTAAAAAGTAGTAATAATAATAAATACAATTAAATTAGTAATTCTTCAAAAAAAAAAAAGTTGTTGTTCTATGTTCATTCTCCTTAAAGAAACAGGGAATGTTTACCTTAAAAGTAAAACAGGTTAAGAGATCTTGGGAGTAACTGTTCTCTTTCCTCGGAACACCTCTGCTAAGGAGCTGCCGGACTGGAGACCTTGCAGTGCGTGGCTCGTGGGTCCACACGACGCCGGCCAACGGCCAGAGGGAAGGCACGGCTGCCCGAGGAGGACGTAACCGAATCGTGATTACGCCACTCCCGCAGCGACACTCAAACTGGCACCACAGAGCCGCGGCGACGCCCGCCACCGGCCGGTACTCACTTGGTGAGCTGCCCTTTGCTCTTGTTGTTGTCCACGCCGTTGTAGGTCACGGCCGCCAGCTTCCTGCTCCGGTAGTTCTCGTAGTGCACGTTGTTCGTGACGTCCTTCAGGTCCTGCATGTGCGTCCTGCCAGACCAACAGCGCGTCCCTCGGTTAAACACCCGGATGTAAATGACGTTAGCAAGACAAAACGTGAGACTCGGCACGCGCGAGACTCATCCTCCCGAGACGGCACTCGTGTTGTCCCTAACTGCACGGTGGGCCGAGAGAAGACGTGCCGAGGTGACACCAACGCAAGTGTGGGTTCCAGACGTGATTCCGGAGCCGTTCGTTTCTCAGAGCGGTTACCCGAGAAAGGCCTTTACAAGAGCGCACCTGTACAGGACGCGGCGTGACTACAGCAGGGACGGCCGAGGGGCCGACACTGACGCTGACGCTGCGCACGGGGACACTTCAGACCTCGGGTCGGGCTCTTCTCCTTCCCCGTCCCCCCCTTTGGTTTTGGTCGGCCAGAGGATGTGGGCACATGCTGGACAGAGACAGAGGCAGAAGGGGAAGAGGAGGAAGCACCCCCGCGGGAGATGGTCCTGCCTCCACCCCTCCTCCCTTCTCCTGTGGGGTTTTGGGTACACACGCACAGATGCCGGCGTGTTTCTCGACACCAGGTCGGGACCGAAACGGCACAGCTGGCCCTGCGGGATGGGGCTGCCATAACCGCCATGCTGCCAGCAGGCCCTTCAGCTGCCTTCAGACTGGGGACTTCTCATTTCACAAGTGCACACGACACGGACAGTACATGCAGCTGGGGTGCTCTCACCGTTCCCGAGTGATCCAGATACTGCAGACGGCTGGAGCTGCTTTACGGCTAGCCTTTAATTACCACTCTTCGTACCGCTGACTTACTATTGCTACTTAGTAACACTATTCGTACCGCTGACTTACTATTACTACTTAACACTATTCATACCGCTGACTTACTATTACTACTCAGTAACACTATTCGTACCGCAGACTTACTATTGCTACTCAGTAACACTATTCGTACAGCTGACTTACTATTGCTACTCAGTAACACTATTCGTAGTGCTGACTTACTATTGCTACTCAGTAACACTATTCGTACTGCTGACTTACTATTGCTACTCAGTAACACTATTCGTACCGCTGACTTATTATTACCACTTAGTAACACTATTTGTACCGCTGACTTATTACTACTACTTAACACTATTCGTACCGCTGACTTATTATTGCTACTCAGTAACACTATTCGTACCGCTGACTTATTATTACTACTTAGTAACACTATTCGTACTGCTGACTTATTATTACTACTTAACACCATTCATACCGCTGACTTATTATTACTACTTAACACTATTCATACCGCTGACTTATTATTACTACTTAACACTATTCATACCGCTGACTTATTATTACTACTTAACACTATTCATACCGCTGACTTATTATTACTACTTAACACTATTCATACCGCTGACTTATTATTACTACTTAACACTATTCATACCGCTGACTTATTATTACTACTTAACACTATTCATACCGCTGACTTATTATTACTACTTAACACTATTTGTACCGCTGACTTATTATTACTACTTATTACCACTATTCATACCGCTGACTTATTATTACTACTTAACACTATTCATACCGCTGACTTATTATTACTACTTATTACCACTATTCGTATCGCTGACTTATTATTACTACTTATTATTACCACTATTTATATCGTTGACTTATTGGTCATGGGAAAGTCATGACATATTTTTGCATAGAAAAATACACCATGACTCCCCCCCACGACCTGACATTTTAATTTGTATAGGGCCCATGTGCTCCCAGTGACAGACAGGGACAGAGTAAGACAGAGAGAGAGAAAGAGAACGAGCTGCCAGGTCCAGGGCTCGAACTGCGGTCGGCCACTTGGGAGCCCAGCGCCTCAACACCGCAGCACCCGCCGCCCCAACTCTCAGACACGGAGCAGCAGCAGCCACGACCACCCAGCCCTCTTTCCTCACGGCTGCTCCCACCTTCCCCTTCTTGCTCCCAGCCAGCACACACTGCACTCCAGGCTCTGGCTGCCAGGACCCTCTGCTCTGAGCAGAGGGTGACATTCAGCTTGGATTCCCTGGCGTCTGCGGTGCTTCTGACAGTTTCCCCTCCGTACTCCCAGGTCAGGGTTCCCACCAGGTCTGGCCGACACTGTCCCTTAATCCGTTTAGCTTGAGGCCGAACATTACCCCTAAACCCTGCCGACCTCCACACGGCCACTCAGACAGCTCCTGTCACCAGCACGCCTGTGGCTGGGACCGAACGGCCCGGGCAACGTGCCACCATCTGTCTGGAGAGTTCTACCGGCCTGGAGGCCCTCTGCCCAGTCTCGAGTCGAAGAACTCCAAGCCATGACGATTTCCTTTGGTCGCCACGCACTTTTGGTACCGGCATGCACCTACGTGACACCATGTGACCTTCTCGGCTACGTCACAGGGAGCATGCCGTGACCCCGTGCCCTCACAGCAGACCGAATGTTACACCTGGTGGCAGAATGCTGGGCTGAGACGAACAGATCTGCTGACTTACTAGAATAAGTTCGCTAGCTGCTCTGAGTAGAGAAGGAAACTTCCTATAATCAATCACACGTCACGTGTCATTACCGCATCACCACTGAGAAGCCACAGCAGCCCTGAGGGGCCCTGGCTGTAAGAGCCGACACTGCAAAGCACAGGAGGGTTGCGCAGCGGGCCCGGGGGAAGGCACGACCTTCCACAGGGCACACGTCCACACTCGTTTTCACCTCGTTAGAGACGCTGAGCTTTACCCCGATACAACTGACCACCACAGGGGGTCTGACGGTCGGCCCCAGACGCTCCCCGTTTCCAGGACTTTCCAGCTGCGTCCCCTGGCCCGTCCTGGTTCGATTTCCACGCCACCCTCACCCACACCCTGAAGATGCTGACACCACCATCCTCCCAGCCCGTGGTGCCCTGTTCGTCGTGAGCGGGACGTGGCCCTGTGAACTCGCCTCACTCTCAGAACCAAACACAACTTCTACCTCCGATCGATACAATTTTTTTTTTTTGGAGAGGTTTCTAGTATAGGGTATGTGCGCTTGCCAGAAAGAGACAGAGAGAGAAAGTGAGAAATCACCCCCCAGGGGAGATGGCCATGCCGCAATCACTTCTCTTCCTTTCTGCTCTCGGGATCTTAGGCACACACGCACAAGCGCCTGGCCTAAGTTTAAGCCACACCGGGTCCGGGACTCGAACTGCGGTCAACTACGTGGGAGTCCAGCGACAGCCATCACGCTAACTGCTGGTCCCTGATGGATACAATTTTGATCATTTGGGAAATACTGATTCAGATACTCCCTCCCTTCAACTGTTGCATGGCCACGAGGTGCCTCTGTCATAAAGACACAAGCTAAGCTAAGTCCGCAGCTTTTTTACAGAATTATTTCTTATTATTATGTTAATTTAACCAGTGAGAAAGCAAGCCGCCAGGTCTGGGACTCGAATCGCAGTCCATCGTATGGGAGTCCAGCACTCTAACCGCTATGCTACCTGCTGGTCCCGACAGCCACCTCGGGAGGATGCGGCGCCCCGCTTGTCACTGCCTCCCACAGCCAGGAGCACCTGCTGCTTGGCTGTACCGAGCCTCCCGGCCGCGCCCTTGTGTTCCCAGAGCGGCTGTGTCAGTAACTCGCGTGCCGGGCCCACCTGTGTTCTTCGCAGGTGAGAACTTACCGACTGCACACTTTTTAAAGATGTAAGAAAACGTTACAGAACACTACAATGTCAAGCCCGGGGCAACTACCACAGAAGACGTAAGAACCAGGGGAGCAGTGGCAAGTAACCCTCACTGCCCATGTCCTGCACATACGCTGTCACGCAAGACGGCACTGCTCAGCCTTTCCAAGTCATGCCTGAAGCACAGAAGAACAAACAGAAGTTCTTAACAGACCCAGAGGGCCGCCATCCCATGCACTGCACCGACTCTTCTCCCGCGGTGCAAGGCTGCAAGGCCAGCCGGCGAGCCCGCCGTGTCACGCACAGGGACGACGTGCCCGTTTCCCGGACTTCGAAATCCACTCTCGGCCCTGGCCTGCAGGATGTGCAATGGATCCCTCCCTGCTGACTGCGGTTCAAGTCCCAAACTCGGCGGCTTGAAAATCACGCTGGGCGTGTGTGCATGTGCCCAGAACAGCAGAGAATGGACTGTGGGTGCCATCCCTGGGTGATCTCTCACTCTCCCTCTGCCTGCTTCTCTCCACTGAGTGCATGCACCCTCCGGCAACAAACCTTAACAATTCAGTCTCATCTCTAGTGCATTTGTCTATATATATTTGTTCACACACACCGTGTGTGTGTGTGTGTGTGTGTGTGTGTGTGTGTGTTACATGTTATACACAGTACGTCTAGGTTTAGTCCGTCACGAGAGTGCACACATGTGCGAGAGAGCGAGAAAAGCCCCCTCACCGGGGTCTTGTCAGGGTATCAGGCATGTGCGAGGCACCCGGTGTACATTCGGGCCACCCAGAGACTCGAACCGATGGCCAGCCATGGGAGGCCTTCAGCACTGCCCCGGCTGCAGCGCTGCCTGTCTACAGGGGTCCTGGCCGTCTACCCGGGTGGCGTGGACCCTGCTCTCCCAGGCTCCCCTTCTCTCGGCTCGCGGGCAAGGCCAGCTCATGGACTCTCTCGCCCACGGTGTGCCCCGTCCCAGCCCCGGCACCTGTACCATGCAAGCCCAGCTCCGCTGACGCCCTCCCTCTAGCTCCCAGCTTCTGCAGTGAGCCGAGCATGGGCGTCTACCGCTGCCTCTCTGACTGGGCGCGGGACTGCAGTACGAGGGGTGAGGGCGGGCGCCATCTCCCTATGCCTCGCCTGTGGTGAGGGTGCAGCTGGCCTGGCGTGTCTGCTGGTGAGCACTGCACTCTGCAGGCCTGGCCAGGCGGTGCCATGAGCCCGGACTCAGTGGCGAGGCAGGAGGACTGCCAGCGCAGGGCGGCCTAGGCACCACGGGGGGCCCTGTGGCAGAGGCCCCCGGAGGTGCCGGCACAGGGCCAGGCGGGAGGGCTGCAGCACGGCAGGGACCGTCTTGCACAGACAGGCACTGCTGACCGGAGCCAAATGCGGCCTGCCCGCCTCCAGCTAAGTCCCTTAGTGAGGAAGGGCACACGCTGCTCTTACCGTCGCTCGTACTCACCTAATCAACATGTTTCTTAGAATGGTAAAGTCACAATGCTCGCCGTTTTCCACTGTAAGAAGAAGAAAAGAGGCCACTAAATTCCGTTTTTCCAAAGGAAATTTCACGGGAGTGTGGGGCTAAAAACAACGAGATAACATGCACAAGGGCTGGGCCCCTCCTCGCAGTCTGGCGTTGGCACTGCTCAGTGAGGCCACGGCTGTGGGCGTGTGCTGTCACCGTGCTGTCGGGCGAAGGACGGGACGCCTGCAGATGAGCTCGCTGAAACAAATGCCGGGGACTCGGGAGGGGAACTCATGCCCGCCTACAAACCGGGAGAGGGTGCCTCTTACTGCAGAGTAAACTGCACTTCATAAAGCCAGCGGCCTGAGCGAGGCGAGGAGCACTTCAGAAAAGCCTCCTACCGTCGCCAAAATGAAAAGGTACACCGAGAACTTTAAGGTTCTTCTGTTTAGAAAGCAACAAGAAGAACTTCAGGATCCTCTGACCTAGCGTCGTTACTAACAGGGACCTGCACGGGAGCAGGCAGGGTAGGGGCGTGAGGAAGGTAACGTGCTGCTCCAACCACCGTGTTGGAGGATGCGTGGGCCCCAGCCTCAGCCTGCAGCCGAAGGCCGCCTGGGCATGAAGAACAGGTGGGGCAGGACATGAGTCGCTGGTACAGACGGGGCTGGGACAACGCCCTACAAATGACAGAACTGCTCAAAACGTCCTGACTCCATCTTAGCTCCAACTCTCATCATCGAGACCGAACCAATATCAAAACAAATGCGAGGAAACACTTTTATTGACAAGAGGACTTCTCGGTTTGATGTTATAACTAACATTTTATAGGTATTTAAAAATTCCTCTTAATAATGAAATGTTTTAACTCTAAAGACGTCAAGTCCCAAATGGTTGCTTGTGCCCTAAGGAGACCGAAAATGCTTCGACTAGACTCGTACGTACTCAGTCATCCCTGAGGGTCCCTGAACACCGCGCTCAGATGACGGTGAAGGGTCTGTAACGCGCCAACCTCAGAAGGTCCGTCAGAGCTCCAGGAGTGACCTTGGGGCCCTGAGTAAAGGGTCCCCAGTTATAATTATGTGATGGGGCAGGGCTGAGGCGGTGGTAACTGACTTCTGATGCATTAGAACGTCAGGGCTGAATACATCCTTGCTGGGCCTCCCATGGCGTGAGGTCTCACAGTCAGCCGTGCACTTTACGAGGAAACCGAGACTGCAGAGCTGGGAGGCCAGAGGTTCCCTCGGGAATACAGACTGCATCAGGGCAGCATGGAGGCCAGAGGTTCCCTCGGGAATATAGACTGCATCAGGGCAGCATGGAGGCCAGAGGTTCCCTCGGGAATACAGGCGGCATCAGGGCAGCATGGAGGCCAGAGGTTCCCTCGGGAATACAGGCGGCATCAGGCAGCATGCACGGCACACTGCTCAACGCGAGCGCGAACACTGACCCCGTCTGCGAGCCCTTAGAACAAGTCACTCGCTGAACAGAACTTACCTTCCGCAACACCCCAGGGGTACTGCCTTCCTCGGACCCTTTTGCCATTCACTTCAATGATAGTATTACTACCTACCACGGCAAGAGGTAAACGGTCCTGCAAAACAGAGCGTTCTGGTCAAGGCACCTCTGCGGTCCTCACACACGCAAGAACAACGCTGTATCACTCAGCACACCAGCAAAAAAAAGGACTTTGATCCTTCCTGCATCACGTCCAGAGGTCACTCAGCAGATACTTAGAAATCTACCACTGCGCGTAACAGCGCCAGGGTTAACGGAGAATGAAACCCTGTCTTCTCTCAGAGTGAGACCGCTGAGGTGTGTGCTACACTGGCCAATTACCTGGTAAAATCGCTCAAAAAAAAAAAAAATCTCTCCAAAAGGTGTCCCATATTGGGGGTGGGGGAAGGGTATAAAAGGTATTTGCATTTGGAGAAGAAAAAACGAGGCTGGTAACTAACCGCCTACCTGGTCACCCAACCAACCCTCACGTTTCTGGAAGCAGGAATATTCTATTTGTTAAGTTCTAACTTTGGAGGTCCAGACAGATGATTAGATCTGTACTGACCCATATTCAGTCCAAGTAATACGCTTTCGAAGTTCATGTAAGTAGCTATTTTATAAACCCCAGAAATTCATTAGTCAAAGACAGCATGTATCCCATTACTTCGAGATGACTGCATTACTTGCTTGCACGATGCTGTAACGCTATTTTTTGGGTCCAGAACACTTAGTTAAGTACAATAAATTAAAAACCAGAAAATTACGCTGGTGTGGATCTTGGTTGGCTTCTATAAATGGACAAAAAATAATTTCTGACTGGCTCTTAAGGATGAAAACATAACAGAATGAACCCTGTCCCTTTCTCATCCTTTTTGTTCTGTTGCTTTGCCACAGGGCACACGCTGAAGGGAAGGGAGAGGGAGAAGCTAGCCCCAGGGAGGAAGGCCTCACCACAACCCCGCGCCCAGCAGCCCCTCCTGGCCCCCACAGCACTGCCATGTTCCAGTGACGATGCGCCACAGGAGAGCCGTCGCTGCAAGGGCTCTGCAGCTTCTACAACTGGGGAGACACTTTCATGTGCTGGTTCGGACTCTCACGGCACAGGTGGCCGTGGGGACCAGTCGCCTTGACCACAACCCAGTGCTGGGCCCTCACCGTTTGTGTTCAAGGGGGAAATCACACAGCATGAAACCAGTTTGCTGAAGACTGAGACAGAAACTGTTCCTCACTCTCACACTGCATATAATGTTCTAGTGCATCTAACGGTGAGTCCACAGGGTCAGCTACAAAGCGGAACGCAACCGAAGCAACCCCAGCCACCCTTAAGCCGAGGACGTAAAACACGGCCTGTCTGGCCTTTCCCGGGCACGGCCTGTTCTCAGGGCCCCTGACGCTTCAGTGCCCGCACCGCGAGAACCTACCTTTATCTTTTTAACAAGCTTATTTTCCTCTTCATCGTCCGTTTCTGGAAATTCATATATTTTGATTTTATGTTCTTGGATCTCTTTCATTATCTAAAATGAGAGGAAAGGTAAACAGAAGAGCCCACGTCCGTCCGTGAACCTGACTTCTGGACTCTGCTGAGAGCCCTCCATTCCAGGTCCTCGACTAGTTCACAACGATGCAAAACGGTACCTTAAAAAAATCCATATACGCAGAGGCTTAAAAAAGCCCTAACGTTTATAAACACCCAAATGCAATCCCTTTGGAAGTGCCAAAGCCACGTCCCACGTGAGAGCCCCTAAGTGCTGGGGCACCCCAGAGGGCAGCCTCTCGGCTTGTCGGCCACTTCCCGACAGTGACCAGGTCCTCTCCAGGTGTAACTCAGGAGCGCTCTTATTTAGCTCACTCAGCAGGCTTAACCTCGCCTACGACGTTCAGAACTGGTCAGGGCACATAAACCGGGTATGGCCGGTCCCAGCTACAAGCTGATCAGAAAATGCCCCGCATGCACAAACCACGGGATGGGCACAGCAGAGACAGCCCAGAAATGACGCCCGAGAGTTAATAAGGAAATGCAGAAGACCCAAGAAGACTCTCAATAACATCAGAAATAACAACTTCAAATGAAACTATCTTGTCGGAATTCTAAACGGAATACAGCCCTCCAAATAATTTTCCGCTAGCTACCCTCTGCAAAGGCACCGCAGCCAACGGCCATCGGTCAGGCCCGAGTGCCCTGCCTGCACCGACGCTGCGGCGCTCCCCACGGCGGGGTCCCCAGCAGCAGCGCCGTGTTCCAGTGACAATGCTAGACGGGACAGCCGTCACTGGGAAACAGGCCCCAGCTTCTACAACAGGGGTAGATACTGAACACACGTGGTGAGGCGACAGGACACGGCTAGATGCGGAGGGAGCGAGTGGCTGGCTCTGAGAGTCGAGGTCCGGGCCCGTGGGCTCGGAAAGGCCCGAGCTTGTCTTCACAGCACAGGCCAGAGCCCCACCTTCCCTCCCCAGCCGCCCTGGTCCACCTGGCAGGTGGGGCCCCACGGCTGACTCTGGGCGTCTTCCAGCTGTCGGGCAGGCACCCCTGGTTAGGAGCCACCATTCTAAGCATACAAAAACCTGCGCGGCCACTAGAACGCACTCAGTGTGGAAGTGGAGACCCTGACTTATTCACCTGTCTTTCTCTAAGCTCTCGGCATCTAAATCGAGGTACATGCAACTCGAGACAGAAGGGGACAGGTGTATTCTGTGATTGGTACCTGAAACTTAGTGCATCACAAAATAAAGATGGGACTTAATAAATGTAAAATAATGGGACCAGCAGTTAGTGTAATGGCTATGTCGCTGGACTCCCATGTAGCCAACCATGGTTCAAGTCCCAGACCTGTTGGCTTAAACTCACTCTGGGTGCGTGTGCATGCGTGCCCGAGATCCCAAGAAGAGAATGGAGGAGAAGGAATTGTGGCATGGCCATCCCCCACCTGGTGGGTGATTTTTTGCTTTCTGTCTCGGTCTTTCTGGCGAGCGCATGCGCCCTATAGCAAAAACCTCTCCAAAAAAAAAAGTAAAATAAATGAGAAACACATACTCCTGGTAGAAATACATTTACAGTAAAAACCATGTACTTAAAACATTCTCAAAATTTATACGAATTTAACCCAATTGCACAGTTAATTCCAATGGGTTTTTTCTTCTGTCACAGGTTTCAGGTACTCTAAAATTCATATTGAAAAAGGTGAAGAAAAGACAAACATTCTGTTACAAAGGCACTATAAGGGAGAGTAAGAGTAAAGATCTTTATATATTTTTAATTATATAAAGCTGCTGTGGTCCTCCACTGGCACATGACAGAGAACAGACTGCCAGGCAGGAGAGGCTCCAGAACTGACCCGACACGCTATAAGGCACACTACACAACAAGCCACACACAGCAGGATAAAGAAAACATCGCTATTTAACTTAATATTATTGAGATAACTGGGCATGGGTTTAGAAAAAAACAGCTTAAACTATGTATATCTCATAAATAGCAGTAAGAACAAAATAAGCTATAGGAGTTTAAGAGAAAAAAAATGGGAGAGAATTAAAAATACTCAGAATAAAAAGAATCCATAAAATATATACAGACGATACCAAGCTCCACTGCTTAAAAACACAGGACTTAAAAAAGATGCTCATGAAAAAAATTTCAAAACCTAAACCTCTGCTTTAAAAAAAAGTTCAGCTTAGGGACCAGCAGATGGCGAAATGGCTATGTCGCTGGACTCCCACGTAGTCGACGGCAGTTTGAGTCCCAGACCCGATGCCATAAACTCACGCCGGGCACATGTGCGTGCGTGCCCAAGATCCTGCGAGGAGAATGGAGGAGAAGGGACTGTGGCGTGGCCATCCTCCCTGGGGAGTGATTTTTTGCTTTCTGTCTCTCTGTGCCTCTCTTTCTGGTGAGTGCACGCACCATATAGCAAAAACCTCTTCAAAAAAAAAAGTTCAGCTTGGGGCCAGCAGGTGGTGTAATAATGGTTAAGGTACTGGATTCCCAAATGGCTGACCACAGTTTAAGTCCTAGATCTGGTGGCTTGAAACTCACGCTGTGCGTGTGTGTATATGGGTGTGCGCTTGTGTGTGTGCGTGTGTGCCTATGTGTGCGCGCTTGTGTGTGTGTGTGTGTGTGTGCCAAATCCTGAGAGAATAGAGAAGGAACTGTGGTGGAGTCACTTCTAGGGGTGACTTCTCACTTTCCCTCTCTCCGGCAAGCATGTGCATCCTACAGCAAAAATCTCTCTTTAAAAAAATAAACAAGGTTCAGTTTTTCTGGGAAATAGAATTAAAATAAATGCTTAGATACCACTTCATTACAAAAAGTTTTGTTTTTTTCTGTTAGTTTGTTTATAATTCATGATGGACCATATGTGCATGAGACAGACGGAGAGAGGGGCGCCACCTCAGGCCTCCTCCAGCTCTCCAGCCCTCCAGGACCTGGTGCCTCTGTGCTTGGTCCCTCGTTTCAGGTCTGCTGGGTCTGGGACTCCAACCATGCTGGGAATGTGTGGGCCTGTGCTGGGCATGTGGCTTCCGTTCTACAGAAGCTAGGCTTCCAAGAAAGTTTTAAAAATAAAAACAGAAAGTAATGCTTGCAGTTATACTGAGACAGCCACTCCCACTGTGGACAGCCACTCCCACTGCCACAGCCACTCCCACAGTCCAGACCTTCCCACTGTCCACCGCCACTCCCACTGTCCACAGCCATCCCCACAGTCCACAGCCACTCCCACTGCCCACAGCCACTCCCACTGTCCAGACATTCCCACTGTCCACAGCCACTCCCACTGTCCACAGCCACTCCCACTGCCCACAGCCACTCCCACTGTCCACCGCCACTCCCACTGTCCACAGCCTGTTTTCTTACGGAAACATCAAGATAGACAACACAGGGGTGGTAATGGGGGGAAACCACGAAAATAATTCATATCATTTGAGAGAGTAATTTCTTCCGGGGAATTCATGCTGAGAAAATAATTCTAAAGAGGGAAGAAAGGTAGGAGGTAGGGGTTATTAAAAACATTTAAAACAGTCTTTAAAACCTGACAGAGGGTAGGGTACTACAATAGTGGATAAAAGCTTCGAGGAGTAACTAAGATTAGGAAGGAACTTCAAAAATGTCACAGCAAAATGGAATTAAAGCATGAGTTTATTTTGGTGCAAAAGTACTTTGAAGCCTATACGCCGTTTCTCATGAGATGCATTTCCATCAACTTTATGAAGCTCTCAAGTATCTTCAAAAGTTGTTTTCAATACAGTATACATGGAAACACAGAGCAGCAGCAAGAGAAACGGATTCCGACACGTACGTTTAAGAGCAGAGACTGCACAGCGGGTGGACGTCGTGAGAAGCCCGAGTTAACTCGTTTTGCTCACCTGCTTTTTAAACTGCTGGCACTCCTCTGGCGTGAGTGTGTCTGCTTTGGCAATAAGTGGGATGATATTCACTTTTTCGTGTAAACGCTTCATAAATTCAATATCCAATGGTTTGAGTCTGAAACACACAGCATTTGACATGGCTGAACTGGGAGAAGACTCCCTCCCCAGAGCACTGTGCTGGAAGGCACTGCGCCCTCCCCGCACAGGGACACGGCAGGCCGCGCCTCCCCGCGCAGGGACACAGCAGGCACTGCGCACGCCCCGCGCAGGGACACGGCAGATGCAGTGGGCCAGACACCGGCAAGCGCCGAGTGGCTAAAAGGTGTTGACACCTGCCCTTGAACACCCTGGTCACACGGTTTGGGTCCTAAAGAAGAGTTGGAGAACCCAGAAAGCTCCTAAAAGGATTTCCTAGAATCATCTCCATACTTGCTACTTGAAATTTACAACGTCTTTAAAAAAAGAAAAACGGTATCCTCCCTCAATGCCTCAGTCAGCTGTCGCTACCAGCTCTCTCTCACGCCAGGTGCTTACCAGACTCTTCAACACCCCTCGGCCCACTGGGACCCGGCTGGCCTGGCTGCACGGGCACCTGAGGCCGCAGCCTCACTGTGCTCCCTCACTTCAGGCCCATCCCAGGTGCTCTCTGTGCCAGAATATTCAGAAGCACACCCCGGGGACCCCGCCTGGTGGGGCCACGGGCACCACAATGAGCTGCAATGGCTTGTGCGGGCCGCCGACCCTGACCTCCCTCTCAGCCAGGTCTCGCCCAGACTCAGGCTGGTCCTGGCCGGCGGGTGTGCGACCTCGGACACAAATCGGGAGCAGCTCCCTCCTGTCTACGCTTCCTGTCTCAGACGGTGGTCTTACAACGTAGCCAGTGCTCACACCCAAAACCAAGATGGCTCCTTCCCGAGTCCCACTTCTAGACATTCGCCAAGACGTGCCGGACAGGGAAGGTGGGGTGTGCCTTCATCTCCAGGGAAGTCACCCTCGCTGCAACCAGGAAGGCCTTTCTCAGTCTAAATCCTACCGAGTCACCCCAGAGAAAACTCACCGAGGGCCAGGCCCTCCCTAGTGTGGCTACGAGGGCTGAGGACAGGGCCTACCCAGTAGCCTCACTCCCCGGCACTCTGGCCCTCTCTGTCCTGGAAGACCACACTCGGCCCTCCAAGCACAGGCGACCGCCTCGGCCTGGATGCCCTGCCTTCCCACCCCTCCTGCTTGCCGTCCTAACTCAGATCCGGCTTTCAGGGCCTGGCTCAGCATCCAGCGTCCCCTGGGAGCCCTCTCTGGTGTGGACCGGACAGCTTTCTCAGGGGTGACAGTGTTAACTGTGCTACAGGACACGCCTGCCCACCTCCCCGCCTAGAGCCCCCAGGGCCAGGCGCCCCTCACTCAGCCATGCCCTCAGCACCTGGCCTGCCAAGGTGCTCGGCCGCTCGGTGTCAAGTGGAGAAGGCAGCCGTGTGATCCTCCCTCCGGCCTCTGGTAATGCTGAAGGAGGGGACTGAGAAGTAACCTTCCAGCAGAAGTGAAGGTTCTGCACAAGAATACGTGTGCATGCCCCAAAGCCCAGCAGGATGGAGAAGTGTGCAACAGGGTCGCGGCGCGGCCAGGCCCGTTGAGGAGTCCTGTCCCCTTCTCTGGTCTCTCTCTGGCAAGTACCCTCTGCCGATGAGCAACTTGGGGGCATCTCACAGGAAACACTGAAGTCAAGATCCAAGCTGCCGAGACTTTACAACACCTGCTCTGCAAGGAGAAAGGCACTGCGAAGTGGCTGGACCCGCAGCCCCGCGGGGGCCCGGGCCCGCCTCTCGAGTCTCCTGTACGTGTGAGGGCCACCACGATGCCCACAGTCTTAGCTGGCTGGGTGTGGGACGGGCTCCGCACACAGACCCCCCGGGTTGCCTGCACCATGTCTTTCTCTGTCTCTCACATGAGAGAGATGGGTAAGTACAACTTCTAAAACATCAAACAAAAAATATGTGAGAAGGAACTGGAGAAGTCGGCTTCTTAAATAAAAAACAAAAGAGCCAAAAAACATTTAAATCACATAAAAATTAAACTTTGGGGAAAAATGCAAAACCTTAGAAAAGCTCCAATAAAACCCTTCTGCCCTTCTAAATCAGCAGGCGGATTCCCGACGTTTGCACGTGAGCAGCAGAAAACGGCCCGCAGAGAGCATGCTCTGGTGGACGTCTTCCTCTGCGCGTTTGGTTTTATGATGGCTCACCCACAAATCGGCCTGTCTGCTTTGACGCTTGAGGGCGCGTGTGTGAGAAGGAGAAGGCAAGGCGGCACGCACACGCGTGAGCCTCACAGCAGGGCCTGGTCATGCCACATGAGCAGAGACTGTTCAAAAACACATTTTTACACACAGCAAGTACCAATGTTGAGCCCCACCCGTGACAAAGAAGAAACGGCCAAGCCACTACACATGGCTGGGCGGGCGTGCTCGGGCCCCAGCGGTGCCTCGAGTGGCTGAGGCCAGGACTCGCACCTGGCGTGCCTGTGGGGTCCGGCTCCCCTGGCAGGTCGTGGACCCCCATGCTACAGGGCCTGCCCAGCCAGCTTAGACTGTAGCTCTCACACTCAAGGACAGAATGTTCTAGAGAATTTCCAGAAAATAAACCCACATTAGAGAAAAAGATTAGCCCCGAAGCATACGGCAAAAGAAAGAACTGCAGGACGGACAACAGATACGTGTCTGTGTGTCTGTGTGTCTGTGTGTCTGTGTGTCTCTCTAAGGGGAAACCTTTCTGTGTAACACGCACTGAAGAGCAGATTAGGGAATCTAGGAAGTACCGAGACAGACAGAAAGGCCTACTTCATTTCACAGATTTCAATGGGATTTCAGTCTGAAGTGAACGGGGGCTTTGGAATTCCTTCTTCCTCTCTTTGGAGTTTGCTATAGGGCATGTGCGCTCACCAGAGAGAGTGAGCAGGAGACAGAGTGAGAGGTCACCCTGGGATGATCACGCCACAATTGCATCTCCTCTGTTCTCCTCGGGAGTTTGGGCCTGCACTGGTCCGGGACTTGAACCATGCAGTTGGCCATGTGGGCTCCAGCTGCCTTAACCTCTGTGCCACCTGCTGCTCCTGCATTTGGAACTCTCTGCATAAAATTCAGGGTCACATTCTTTCACGTAATCCATAGTACCACACAACAACAGGCAAAACTGTCCTCTATTTCTAAAAATAGTTAGGCTGAGAAACTGTTCAAAGACACGTTTTTACACAGAAAGTAAAAACGCTGAACCCCACCCCCGTGACAAAGAAGAAACGGCCAAAGCCACTACACGCCACTGAATCACATCAACTTTTCGCCCTAAAAGAAGTTGATTTCCCATGCAATTTTAAGAAATAAAGTTTGCCCCAGGGGGATGGAAGGAATGTGATTTCGTGAGAATTACTGAGGCTTGGAGAGAGTCCAGGAGGCCTACAATAATACAACTGCTTAGAGACTGACAAATTCCTGTTGACATAACTGCAGATTAAGCATTCACTCGCTTGTGGCTTCCAGGAGGAAAGCCCAAACTAAATCAGAACGGTAAAGAATACACAAATCTAAAAGGAAGCTGCACACGTTCTCCTGAGCAGTGGCCGGGTGTGCTGCACGTCTGTGACACCCACTGTGTGTCACTAGAGTAACCGAGGCAGTGCCAGCACAGGACGGGCACAGGCTGCTACGACCGAGCCCGTGGAGGGAGACCCTGAAGGGAGGGCGGCACAGAACACGGTCACCGGAGCCTTCCTGCGTGTCCTCCAGGGTTCAGCTGACGTGCTCCCTCAGACCATGGGGGTTTCTCAGACGGGTAACCCTAGCTGCAAAGGCGGCTGGCTTCTCCTGGTGTGGCAGACCCGTTACAGCACAGCGGGCAGCGATGGCAGCTTGGCTAGGCCCGGAGGCCCCCCCCCCCAAAGGGGGGGCCCCC